CGCCATAAATCATCTTATCAAGTGCTAACGATTTACCCTTTCAGACGGTACAGTTTTGATATGAAGAGAAAAAAAGGAGAACACAAAAAGAAGATATTTTCACCTTTTCATATGAATTATGATATTCTGTTAAGTTGTTCATGTTGACACTCAAATCGCCCTGTTGTGCCCTGAAATGAGTTGAATGTAATCTCACTATTATGAGATCTTATAATCTTATATAGTTTATGAGAAGAAATGAGGGAAAGCCTCTAAGCCATGTTAATTCACAGATTATCTCAAAGGAAATTGAAAAGTTTCTTTCTCTTTCTCTTGATCGTCATCAGATAATTCTGATGCCTTAAATAGATAACCATTGATAAAGAATAAAGTGAAAGATTTAAAATGAAGAAAAGTACTTTTTAACTTTCAAAATTCAATTGAACTTGCCTTAAACCACTTTCAGATGTTGAGCTTTTTCTTTTGATTTAGATGATGATTTCATGTCTACTATTGATTTCATGATGAAGATGAGGATAAGTTATTGATGATAACTTTTTGTGGCCAAAAGCAAAGTGACCTTCAAATTGACACTCATTTCCTAACTAATCTATTTTAATTATTTATGTTTACATCATTTACAAACTGTTTTTTTCAAGTTGATTGAAATTAGTTACGAATTTTAATTGAAAAAAAACTTTTCTAATCAATTCTATTTTAAACTTGAACAATTTCATTCATTGCAATAAACTATTAAATCATTGACTCAACAATCACAGAATACACAATCAATTTCAGTTCTGTAACCTCAATTTATTAACCAAATTGTTGATTACAATTGGGTTGATTAATCGTCAAGAAAGATGAACTTTTTTTTCTGTAACATTATTGAACCTTAAGAGGGTTTAATAGCAAACTGTCATGGAAATTAATGGTTGAAAACAAAACACATTTTTTGATAAAAGTCAGAATCTAGATTGGATTGATGTCATTGTAATAACAATGAGATGATGACCAGGTTGACAACAAATGAACCTGATTCTATTGCCATAATTTTCATCTTGAATTTTGATCGCCGTTGTTTATTATGATTACAGCTTCCCTGTTGAACTAATCATCAGACTGACAATGAATACTATTATTAAGTGTGGAAACAGTTTGTTTTGTGAAAAGACTTGAATGAAACAAAATAGCTGGATAATATTCATTGTTTGTCTTTTTTTGCCTTTCATTGAAAAAGCACCAAAGATGAAGATGATGGTGATCATGATGATGATAGGGTGTTTGACAGTTAACCAGCCAAGAGAATCATAAGATGAATTGTAAGTTGTTAAAACAAGAACTCTAATTGGGTTGAAATGAAGGGCAATGAGTGAATGTAGACTGATGAGGATAACGGCGATGATGAGGAGGATGATATTGAAACAGAGCTCAATAAAACCAGTCTTCATGTGGAGGCCAACTTTGATATTAAAATGTTCCTTAAATACTCTATTCCGCATTCTGATTCGTATTAAACATTATGAGAACTTATTTAACTTATTTTTCACCTCAAAATACAATTTAACCTTTCACACTTTGAAGCCATGAAAGAACACACAAAAAAATCCTTTGACTATTCGAGTGATCCTTTTCATCATTGAACACATTTTCCACCTCAATTGAGTCGACATTAAAATTGATCTAAAATCTGGTTGTTAGCATTTTTGATAATATTTGAAACAAATTTTTTCTTTTCAATCAATCTATTGATAAGTTTGGCTTTTCACTTGTCCATTCATTTGGCCATTGACAGTGAAATTTGCTACTTTCAGGTGAAACTAAATTAGCCTTTAATCCTGAGATAATCTGATGGAAGCCAATTGAATGATTTTAATTGAGTTTGACATTGACTATCAACTTTAATTATGTCATGCAATCTTCATATCTGATTGAATATGTCAAATAGTCAATAGGTAAAAAGATCTGTACACAAAACTGTGATTTTTTATGATAAAACTGGTTGTGAACTCATTTTGTGTTGTTTTTTTCTCTCTATTCCAATCAATTAGATAAACCAAAAAACTGTCAATTTAATTAAGATGATAATCACAGTTAGCTTTTTACTGTAAAATTGATTGCCAGTTAAAAGTGCAGCTAAATGAATGAAAAAAGGTTTACTGCTAAAAATAGGTTTAAATGTATACCAAAACAATATATTAGTAAACAAAAATGATTTACTGATTAAAGACAATAAAATTATTTATTTATGATTTGTTTTAAACCAGGAAGATCAAATAATGAAATAAAAGACCACAAAAATGATAAATTGATGAAGAAGCTTCACAATTTAAGATGAAATTAAAATGGCGTTTTACCTGATTAAGTGCATCAATTTGTAGTACAAAATGCAAACAAAAATGTAAACCAAACCTTTGATAGAAAAAAGAAAATCATTGATTAAATTACCTGTTGATAGTTATTTTGATTGTAAAAACGGGTAACAAAACAAAACGGAAATCATCTTTAACTAATCATTACACTCGACTAACAATTGAAATGGTCATAAACCAATAATTGAGGTTAAAAAAGGTAAAAGTTGAAATATATTTGTGGCTTAACATCTATTCACTTCCTACTGGGTTCATGTTTTTGTCAACAGGTAAACGTATTAAATCATTTATCATCACTTTATCAACTTTATCCATCGTAATGTTATACCTTTTTCAGATGAATCTTGCAAAGTATAAAAAGTATTATAAAAGTTGAGGAAAAAGTTGTCCTTTTTTCTTGGTTTTATGTCCATTTAGTTCTCAATTACTTTACAAATCGTTATTGGCCTTTTGAGCAAATTAAGTGATCAATCGGATTAGTTGATTGTTTACCCAAAATTGTATCACATTCACACAAATAATAAGATTATGTTAACCCTCGAAGCAAAAGTAAACTGCATTGAACAATTTACCTAATTACTCGATATGGTAACGATTCATGTGTTCAACTTTCATCAGGCTAAAGTGATAAAAGTGATTTGAGGAAATTCCGGAAGAACTGAAGATGATAATGATGATGATGTTGATGGTCATCATCTTGTGAGTCTTTCATTTCTTTCACTTAATAGGCTCACCAACTGTACCTTTGTTGTTGTCATTTTGACAGCCTTTAATCTCAACTCAGCTTAACTCAGCTTAACTCATCTCTGCTTTGCTCTTTGAATAGTTGTTCATCAAATTTCATACATTTTTTGGCTTCTTCCTCAGGTCAATTTGAACTTCTCTTTCATTATCATCATAATCCTCTTTTCATCTTATTCAGCTTCTTCCTCATTGAACACAATTAGGTGAAAAATGAGGAAAAATCATATTCCTCAGAATGTTGAGACAATTTTTAACTACTAATTAACATCACCTCCAATGGTGATTGGTAAGAATAGATAAAATGAGCAGAAAATATCTCATTACAATCATCATCAGATAATCTGTATTTTCACAAGAAAACGCAAGATAAAGATGATGATGATAAATGCACTGTGAAAATGATTCAAAATATTGCAGTTGATTACCTTTGGGGTCAACTTTTCTTCCGTCATATGATCACTTTTGTGAATGACCCTGGTTATGAATATTTTTTTCTTTTCTTTTTGTACACAATCATTCTGTAATCATTCTTGATATTATCATGCTGTATCATCATCATCATGATTACCATGCATCAACTTTGAAAAAAGTAGCCAACACAAAATGTTCAAAGTAAAATAAGAGGAAATCAGACAAAGTATTTGAAAAAAAGTCAAAGTGAACTTCAACACTGCTTCACTATTAATACAATTCATTAATTCAATTGTAATTTGACTTTTCTCACATTTAATTAACCAGTTTAATGAAGAAAAAATGAAATGATAGTTATTCATCGTTTCTCAATTGGAAACTGAATCAGTTGAAACAAGGATTGAATGGCATTAAAAGCATTTAAACCCACGGTCAATGTTACCTTGATTATGTTGACATTTTTCGATTGTGTTTAAATGGTTAACATTGTTATATATTGAATTTTATACGAAACAAGAACAGATAACTGTTGATAACTGTATTGCTCTGTGCAGCCTCTAACTGTCTGGTTAAGTGTAGGTTTGCCGTGCGATTAACATTCATTCATTTTTACGTGTAATAACCAAATAAAGTTATCTAAAGAGCAAGCTCATCAAGTCTCTTTCACTCTCTCTATCTCTTTCCTCTCTTTCTGTCTGTCTGTCTCTCTCTGTCTCTCTCTCTCTCTCAATGAGCACACCAAAAAAGACAGAGAAAAAGAAAGAGCCCAATGATCCCTTTTGTAGTCTCTCTCTTGTCTTTCTCTCTCTTTCCCACTCTCATATCGGGAGTCGGTTGAGTTAAGAAACCATTTGGGTTTCTGCTTTTCTCAAACTTGTTCTTGATGCATTTAGTCAGTTTGTGTGTGTTTTTATTTTGTGCTTAACCTTGTGTGTGTAAATTTTTTTGGTGTATTATAGACAACATAGAGAATGGATTTTTTTGCCCAATTTAATTTTCTTTGCGCCTAAAGTGATAATCTCAATGTGATGTAAACATTGTCTTCCAATGAGAAACCAAATGAATTTGAAGCAACAAATAAGTCAATCTCAAGCCTTATCTCAATCTTGTGTGTGATAAATTTTTATTATTATCAGGTAGTTATCAATTAAAGCCTAAACTAAAACCCAAACTCCAAACGCAATCACAAACCTAAACCTAAGTCTAAACCCAAACTGAAACCCAAACCTAAGTGCTAAACATCAACCTAAGTCTCAAAAGTTAAACTCAAACCATTGGACAACTTTAACCAAAACTTAACCCTAAAGTTAAACTTGTGTCTAAACCTTGTACCTCAACCCAAGTCTAAATGTGAACCTTGCTGCAACAAATCTTTATGTGCAAAGAAAATTAGATTTGATTGAAACTTCATTTTCTATGCTGTATAATTAATTAACTGTTTGTATTTACTATCATATAATAGTATGGACTTCTCTTATTTGATTAATTATACAGATGGAGGCAAAAAGCCCTATTTGGCCAGCATCGAGAGTCTAGAAGACTGTGGTGATGAGGAATTAAACGTTAATATTGCCACCATCAACAACAATGCCATGGATGATGGAAATATTTCAACAAATTGTCTTAAATTAAGGCATATTGAACGTGTCATTATGGAAATAGTTGAAACCGAAAGGACTTATGTACAGGATTTATCAGAGATAATTGAAGGATATCTTATTTATTTAAAAAAGTTTATTAATCAAAGTTCATCATCATCATCATCACCGTCATCACCGTCAACATCATCGTCATCTTCAACATCATCATCAACTTCATCATTATCAACCTCAACATCAACATCACCATCATCGTCGCCAAAAAAGTGTTTCATTTGTTTGGATCAACTAAACAATCTTTTTGGAAATATTGAAGACATATTTGAATTCAATTCAAAATTTCTGAGTCAACTGGAAGAATGTGATTTAATACCGAGTCGAATAGCCAAATGTTTTGTCCAACAGTCAAAAGGTTTTGAAGTGTATACACAATATTGTACCAATTATCCTCGAACCGTTTCCTTGCTCACTCATCTGATGACAAACAAGGAAACTGCAGAGATATTCCGAGAGAGGCAGTTATTTTTGAAACACAGTCTTCCTTTAGGTTCCTATCTTCTTAAACCAGTTCAAAGAATCCTCAAGTATCACCTTCTCCTTCAGAATATTGTGAAAGATGAAGAAGAAGATATCGATGATATACGCCAAGCACTTTCCGTGATGACCAACATTGCGGCTCACATCAACGAAATGAAAAGGAAACACGAACATGCAGTTCGTGTCCAAGAAATTCAAAGTTTACTCTGTGGTTGGATGGGACAAGATTTAACAACATATGGCGAACTGGTTGCCGAAGGTTCTTTCCGTATGCTTGGAGCCAAAGCTGTGCGCCATTTGTTTTTATTTGAAAAGATGCTTTTAATTACCAAGAAGAAAGAAGACGGATTACTTTGTTATAAAGCTCTTATCATGTGTTCAAATTTAATGGTAATCGAAAGTATCGAAAGCGAACCATTTTGCTTTCAAGTTATACCTTTTGACTCTCCTCGAACTCAGTACACCTTTCAATCGCGCAATCTGGACCATAACGGGAATGGTGTTTGCAGTGAAAAGGTTAATGTTGGAAAACTATCCAATGCCAATTCCTTCCAATGCAAAGCAAATTGTCATGAAATTGGGTTTAACGAGTAATTATGGGTTCAAGAGTTCTGGATCTGGATCTGGTAAAGAATCTAAAAGTAGTTATAGCAGTGTTGGCTCAGGTCGACGAACACCTTCAGCTCCAGAATACTTGGAGAAAAGGAAACAGGAAAGACGCAAATCAGATGCCGATAGTCATTCAACTAGTAATAGTCTCCATAAAGGTTTCAAATTGAGAAAGTCATTGAAAAAGATTCAACCCTCGTTTGACCTTGCAATGATGAATGGGTCTAAAAGATCACGAAGTGCCAGTACCGATGAGACAGCCATGAATCTATTGAAAAGAGAGGAACAACTAAAGATTGATAGGAGATCAAGTTTAGGAACCATTAAACCTGCAAGTCTCCAGGAAGAGGAGATGAACAACAGTCAAAGTGGTAACATTAGTCTAACTTGCTGTGATGTCAAAACAATTAATAATAATGAAACAATAGCGACAACAACTTTAACCTCCTCCTCTTTACCTTCACCCATATTCAGTACAAACAGTATCACAACAATATGTCCAATGTCAATAGTTACCTGTTCAACGACAACCCTTTCAACCACCACAACAAGCAGCAATTCATCTCTGGCAAGTCTAGAGAAATCATTGACTGACAATGTTGATGGTGAACGAAGCTATTGGTCTGGTTTACGTCGATCAAGTTCCAGGTGCTCGGCACGTAAATTGGCAAATGATTATCTGAAGCGAGCATCAATCAGTGAGGCTTGTGGTGATGATTACGTTTCCTTTTACTTTTGTGGCAATGGTTTGGTTCGAAGGGATTCAATCAATGGAAGTACCAGTTCCAATGGTGTTGCCACTCTTGGTGAAGAGGACAAGTTGAGTGTAGGCAATTTGGATCCATCGTCAATTCATGGATACAGTTTATCATCTGGTTCTAGTATGGCTTCAATGGTATCTTCAACAGCCTCTGAAAGCAATTCAATTATGTGCATATGTAAAGCTTATCGTCAATTGAACTTACGTTCAACACCTAAACAAACACAGTCACTATCTTCATCCAATTCATCTTCAACTTCATCTTCAACCACATCTTTCACTTCAACAGATTGTAATAATGTTACTGGATCCAATGTACAAATTGTTGAGAGTCCTTATGATGAGTACATACCTTGCCTTTGTGGTTCAACTTGCGAACAACGATCTCGACTCTTTAATTCGAATTCGGGCGAAGATTCTGGCCTTGGCAGCATCTTTTCAGGAAGCTCGTCCAACAGTTCCTTCTCAGCGCGAACATCAACACCTTTATCAGCTGGTTCAAGTGAACTCAGTATGGCTTCCTCGTCTCATTCGTCAACCGATGATTATCATCACATACTTAGCAATTTAACTGGTGCTGTTGGTCGTCTAGGATTAACCAATGATCATTCATCTTCTAATCATCTGAACAATCCTCATAATGTTCGTAGAGCTCAATCCTTTACTGGAATGGTTAAAACAAAAACAGCTCTTCTCACCCACACATTATCCTTTCGACACTCACCTCAACTCGATTTAACACCCTGCTGTAATCTTACTCATCACCATCAAGTCAATCAATATCATGGTCACCAACATAATCACCATCCACACCACCACCACCACCATCATCATCATTCTGGTAACAATCAAAAGACTCATCATTACCACCACCATCATCAACAGAAGAACCCAAATCACAGTCACCACATCACCAGTCTAACAACCATCGGTCACTCTTCAAACAAACCATTACTCAAGCCAGCAACCTTGCCATCCTGAACAAGAACCCATCAACAAGAATGGAACAAGTTGGACAAAATTGTCATGAAAATGATGAACAACTTGCAAATTCACATTCTGATGATTCTCCCGATATCTCTTGTTCCTCTTCTTCCTCTCCATCTCATCATCACCATTCTACACCCTCATCAACCTGCAGTTCAAGCCAAACTTCATCAACAACAACATTCTCCTCATCACCATTTACATCTCCTTCTCTGTCAAATGTCTCATTTTCACGTAATTCATCCAACGTCAGGCTTCCCTCGTCAACCTCATTGGAAGAGATGAGCCCAACATCACCAGAAATCTGGTTACGGAAACAAGAAGAACACTTTCCACCAGCTTGTAAAAAGGGAGGCTCATTGCCAAGAAGCTTTGAATCAACAGCATTCACCTCGTCAAGCCAATTGTAATTCCCCCCACTTCCCACTCCTCCACTTCCACCTCCTTTTTTTGATAATTGATTGAATATAATTAGCTTTTGGCGAAGCAAGAAAAAAAGTGAAAGACGCCATGAAAAAAAGGAAAAACAAGGAAATACAATCAACGAGAAACCAAGAAACATGGAAAGCAAAGCTGAAGACATTTGAAAGAAACAAATTTTTATCAAGAATTGTTATGACAAACTCGGATTCTATGCAAAGCTGCTTTTTGCATCGCCATCTTTCACTATCTTTTTTGTTTAAACTTCTCAAATGTCTTGAAATAATTTAAATACATTTGTCTTCCCTCTTCTCATCTTCTTCATCCTCTTCATCCTCTTCATTCTCTTCATCCTTTTCATCCATCTTCTGCTTTTCTTCCTCATCTTTACAACTATCTATATGATAATGAATTTTTTGTTTTTAAAAAATTTAAAAATAACACTCGCTTTCTTTTTTTGTTAGAAAGATCAACAATCTATTAATATTATTACAACTATTATTATTTAATCATAATCTGTCTTAATTCCTTGTTACGGTCAATTGCCAAAAACAAACTTGATTGGATTCCATCAATTGGCAATGTAATTTTCAATCGCCATTTCCTCTTCCTAATAACCTTGATTACTTTGCAGATGGAAACCATTCACAGGATTTAATGGTGAAACTAAATGTTACAATGTAATGGAAAGAAAGCTCAAGTTTCTCACAACCAGACGAATGCTGTTTCAAAATGATAACAATTAACGATTCAATTTCCGATTGGTTTATTGATCAGGGAAGGTTAATGATCAACTAGTTGATATATCCAATGATGGCAAGTAAACTATCATGAAAAACACTCGACAGTTTATCCACAAATGACCATTGGTTATCATGAAATGATTTTCGGTTAATCGTAAAGCAACAGTCATTCAAGATTCTCATTTTCATCATAAAGTGAAATTGTTGAAAAACAGCGAAATTGAATGAAATTGAATGAAATGATGAGCTAATGATAATGATAATAAAAATGATAATGATAATGATGCTACTGATGGTAATAATGATTATTATTATGAATGTTATTTTCCAGTCATTCAATATGAAAGGAACAGATTGAAAAGCCAAACACAAGAATTTTCTCAATCAATTCAATTTGTTTCATTTTTTGAGGAATTTTTCATTTAATATTATCAAAGCCTCATTTCCATTCTAATTGATGATGATAATGATAACTATAATAATAATAGTATTAGTATAATGGCCTTTTGCCTTTGGCTGAATGTGTTTCAAAAAATCATTGAACTTGTCAAAAGAGCTAACAGAGTACAGATTAACTATTGATGATCAATTGTATAATAATATCAATTTAACAATCAAACAGGTAAATGATCATAAAATGATAGTTTTTAAGGTTCATCTTTGCCTTGCTTCCAAGTTGATCATCTGGAGTTAGTCAGTGGTTCAATGATAACAAAATTAAATGAAAATTTAAACAGCAAATCACAAAACATCATCTAATTGTTTCTAAATATGATAATCAGTTTTGTCTTGATTTACCTTGAGGCTTGAATGATTGCTCTTGCATTTCGGTGTTTACATTCAAAAGTATGGATCTCTTAAAATAGACTTTCAATTGACCCAGAACATGATGATGATGATGATTGAAGAAAGTTTCATTTTCTAATTATGACCTTGATTGTGACTGTCTGCTGAATATTTGATGACGAGTATTAATGTTTTGTTTAACGCATTTGTTTTTGTTTATTAATCAAGAGTTGAATTGAAAGGAAAATACAAATCACAAAAAAGGCCTTTCATCTTTACCATTCAATTAAAGGTAAGTTGCCATCTCAATTAACCTTTTATTTGACCGCAATTAAGGCTAATATGTTAGACTATCTTAATCAATTCATTTAATAAACAACAGAAACAGAAATGATTGCTTGTGTTTAAATTAAAAGTAAAATGTTATTCATTCATTAAATACCATTTAAGATGCAATCTTTCAAGTTCAACTCCTTTCCTTATGCAAATCAATGACGATTCAAATGCTCACACAGTTTATAAATTGTTTGTATTAATACATTTGTGTGTGAGTGTGTTAACTGCAGATTCAAGTTGAGCACTTTTTATAGTCTTAATCATCTTCAATTGTCAATGAACGCTCCTAATTTGTAGTTAATTTGAGATACAATTAATAACTCACAGCCCAACTCTCCATTGAATTAATACTTTCTCTTCACTTTCAGGGTTAATTCAGGATACATTTGTTGTCCTTATTGATTAATTCAAATCATTGATTGTAATTTTTGTAATAGTTACAGCTACCTCATAGTGAGCTCATCACTGTTGATCCTTAATTGATGCAATTTAAATGACAATGAAAGGTTGAAATGTTAGATTAACTATTAAAAATGTAATTTAACTTGAAAAGGTAAAAGTTAATGTTTGCAATTACATTTTTATGTACATTAAAAGGTTGTTAACCTTTAATCTCACGTTCAAGGTTATTAATTTAAAAGTTATTAACACATTTAACTAACAATATTGTATTCATTAAATTCAATTGCTTACTACACAGTTTATGTGTTTAACTGTTTAGTAATTTTTCATTGTCAACCTTTCGCATTGTTGCCTCAATTGTATTTGCACTTTCACATTTACGTTTGAATTTAGTTGACTTGCTTTTCATTCACTTCAATTGACGATTCAATTGGATGAACGCAAAAAGGTTAACTATTTAAATAATTAGTTTAGTCAAGTATTTAGCAAATGTCTGTTCCAAGAGGATATTTATTGATTAGGAAATGAAAAGTGTTGAGTTAAAACAAGTTAACAAGATTGACTTTTATGAATAACTTCTGTGCTATTTCGGTTGAAAAATGAATCTCTTTTGCAATGTAACCTGAAAACCCTGTAAACTCATTCAGTTTGCAGAATATTTATGATAGACTTTTAAGTTATAATTTCTCGTAATTAGTCTGAACAAAGTAAAGATGAGGCTGAAAGGAATTTTGGTTTTTAATTTCGCAGTTTGCTATGACAGTTTATAACAGTTCGATGAATATAAAATAAGATCGAATGCGAAATGAAAAATTCTTGATGAATTTAATTTTTCGATTTATTGTCATTTAATATATTGATGGCTAAGTCAATTAAACAGAATTTCTTAGTAACATTAGATGCACTGAAAAATTATTTATCAATTTTTAGGTATTGAAATTTTATCGAGTGCTGAAAGAAATGAAATTGACTGGGATTAACTGGTATTTCATGGCACTTGACCATGTGATTGCTCATCTGGATTGCAACACATTGCACCCAATCGTCTTCACTTGATTCCTCTTCAATCAATGTACGTGTGAAAGTGTAATTGTAGTACATTCATGAGCTCTTTTCATGTGTCGATCCAAATTGTCCGCTATAGAAGAAGCGTGATCACAATGTAGGCACTTGTATAATCGATAGAAATGTTTGCTAATAACATGTTGTTGCCAATAAGATCCAAATTGTCAGCTATAGAAGAATCGAGTTGATTGTTAATCATAATTTTCACCAAAGTACAAGGCTCGTGAATCGCGACTGATGCCAATATTTCAGGTAATATTATCTTTAAATGTTATTACGTGTAAAAAATAGTCTTGAATGAACTTGACAGTTTGGATGCGTGTCAGATGCTACAGACCTCAGACTTGAACCATGATCTTTTGCAGATTGGAAGAACCATAAGTGCGAACTCTCAAGGTCATTCAAGGTCGAACCATTATTTGATCTCTAATTGATATTTCAGGTCATTTTCTGAGAGTAAGAATTTTTATAGATCAGTCAGTGTTTGTTAGATGCTGGTAAAAAATATGAGTGTTTCCATAACAATCAGTGAATCAATTGGTTTGGGTGAAAATTCGGTTATCTTTTGAGATAGAGTTATGAATATCTAACAAACACCGACTGATCTAAAAAAATTTGTACTCTCAGAAAATGACCTTAAAATGTCAGTTAAAGGTCAAATAATGGTTTGACCTTGAATGACCTTGCGAGTTCGAACTTAAGGTTCTGCAATCTGCAAAAGCTCATGGTTCAAGTCTGAGGTCTGTAGCATCAACCGTTCGTGAGTTATGCCTGCAGACAGGCGTAAAATGAAAAAAATACCCGGTATAATCGATAGAAATGTTTGCTAATAACATGTTGTTGCCAATAAGAACGAGTGAATGGCTTAAAACAAACGCAACAAATGATATGACGAGAGCCTATTGATAGATCATCCTTGATCAAGGGTAAAATTTTATCGACACAATTCGCAATCCGTTGTATATGTGAATAATGTTGCCGTACACAAGTCCAGCTGTAGTCGACTTCACTTTTTCGAGCCCATCTTTTGCTTTTTTCCTTCATCAGTATCCGCCGTTTTTTCATTTCAAATTCTAGTTGTTTGAAGCACGACTTTGATGTTGACATCTTGGCACATCTTTTATTACTTTTGGCTGCTGTTGCTTACTGTTAACTTGTTAACTTTCTCATCGAGCAAATATCAATATTAATGCAAATAACACTTTGAATCATCAAACTGCGGCTTCTTCTCATTTTGATTACCAATATTTTGTTGGTCATTGATAAATTAACAATCAAGATTTAAATTCAACATTCGATTCTGTTTATAAACTGCACATGAGGAGCATATCAAGAATAAGATTATCATCGTGTCAATTAATGCACAAGTGCAGGTATCAATAAACCGTTTTGAAAGCGACTCTTTCCGATTAATCTGATTGGATCTTGATTGACATTTAATTACATTTGAATTAAAATTAAATTAATGAGGAAACGAGGATTACAGTAGTGGTTAGGGTTAAGTTAACAAATGGGGAGATTTTTTTCATAGTCGCCAACTAACAATAAATTGAAGTACCTTTAAGATAGAATTTAATTTTGTCCATTTCTCTATTGTCTAGTTTCTCTGAAAACTAATTATGACCGAGATGGTGACACCTGAAAATTAAATTAACTCTGGCCCTATTTTGTTAACTTAACCCTAACCACTACTGTAGAACATTTCTTGTTTCGTAAAAAAAAGATTTTTTCAGCTTGACCCCGACTTTGAAAACAATAGCATTCCATTTATTAATTGGTCGGCTCCATTTTATGGTCGAAGCTTTACTCTTGCGAATAAAGACAATCATCATTTAAATACCCAATTAAAGGGGCCGGCAATCCTGGTATCTACACCAAAGCGGCATGTTATGAGGTAATCCTCATTTACTGAGAATATTGAACAATTCAATGAATTACTTTATTTCATCTTGTTTGTACTCAATAGATATGCAATAATATGAAAAGACATGGTTGGACCAAGGAATGGGACGATGTTGGTCAAGTGCCTTATGCATATCATGAGGATCAATGGGTTGGTTATGAAGACGAAGAGAGTTTAATGATTAAAATGAAGTTGATTAAAGATGAAGGTTATGGTGGAGCCATGATATGGTCAATAGGTTAGTGTTTATGTTGTCATTTCAAGTTAACTGATCATTTGTTGTTTATTATTACAGACATGGATGACTTCAATGGAGAGTGTGGTAATAAAAATGCTTTACTTCAAGTGATTAACGATAATCTCAAATGTTGAACTTGCAACTTCAATTGCATGCAAGAACTCACTAGAAGTCATCATCAATACCATCATCATTATACAAACACCGTTTTAATTCCCATTAATGGATGCATTTCCAGTCCAGCAGATTGTATTGATGCATCATGAGCATGTATTTCATTTGAGGAGAGCGATGAGATCATAATTAAAGAGAAAGTTTGTGAATAAAAAATGTTTGGAAGCTGATAACTTGGTGAAGTTAAAAATGAATTGATGGAAACTGAAGGCTTGAAGAACTGACAAGTGATTGATAGAATGAAAGTTTTACATTTATGACAAGTATTAGTAATATTAATAGTAACAGAAGTCCTGTTATTTCATCAAATATTCAAATATAAACTTCGAATGTAAAATGGTGATTCGCGTAACTGTCTTATATTCATTTACAACAATTAAGCTACAAGTTTCACTTTTATCAAGATATTGTAACTGGAACTGGGCTTTGGAACACTTTCAATATGAATTCTGCATTATTTTAATAATCATCTAAAAGAGACAAGATCATGTTCATATAATGATACATGTATTAGCTTATTTGCTTAAATGCACGAACGGGAGAATCATCACCGAAAAAACTATTTCAAGAAAGCGATATTTATTGTGGATTGTTTACACTGTTTTATGAGTTGATTGTTAAGCATAATTTTCACCAAAGTACAAGGCGCATAAATCGCAATATTTTAAAACAAATCATGGCCCTTGACTATCAGGATTGCAACACATTACATCACAATCGTCTTCACTTGATTCCTCTTCAATCAATACGTGTGAAGGTGTAATTGTGCTAGAATCATGAGCTCTTTTCATGTGTCTATCCAAATTGTCCGCTATAGAAGAAGCGTGATCACAATGTATGCACTTGTATAGTCGATAGAAATGTTTGCTAATAACATGTTGTTGCCAATAAGAACGAGTGAATGGCTTAAAACAAACGCAACAAATGATATGACGAGAGCCTATTGATAGATCATCCTTGATCAAGGGTAAAATTTTATCGACACAATTCGCAATCCGTTGTATATGTGAATAATGTTGCCGTACACAAGTCCAGCTGTAGTCGACTTCACTTTTTCGAGCCCATCTTTTGCTTTTTTCCTTCATCAGTATCCGCCGTTTTTTCATTTCAAATTCTAGTTGTTTGAAGCACGACTTTGATGTTGACATCTTGGCACATCTTTTATTACTTTTGGCTGCTGTTGCTGGTTCTGCTGAGGAATCTGAATCTGTGATTTTAAGGTCCGTCACAATTCCATCACAATTCATCGATGCTTCCATGAGCTTGAGTATACAACTAAACAAAAAACTTTAAAATAGAAATGAGTTAAACCACAAAATTTGTATTCAATACCAAAGCCACCAATTTAATTGTGTTTCAAATTGTTCTCTCAAGGAAAATCTCTGCTTCAAACGGATTTTAATTTAAAACAAATCGGCAATATTAACATCTTAGTTCGGCTGATAGAGTAAAATTTATCTTAATTATCTGATAATTTATTGAGTAAACAATTGTAAACAACTTTCTCATCGAGCAAATATCAATATTAATGCAAATAACACTTTGAATCATCAAACTGCGGCTTCTTCTCATTTTGATTACCAATATTTTGTTGGTCATTGATAAATTAACAATCAAGATTTAAATTCAACATTCGATTCTGTTTATAAACTGCACATGAGGATTTTATCAAGAATAAGATCATCATCGTGTCAATTAATGCACAAGTGCAGGTATCAATAAACCGTAATGATACAGTAATGTCATGAATTGTGAGTGATGTGATGACCTACAATATTGTACAATTTATAAAGCTTCAGAAATGAGCTTTTATTCATGAGGGTTCCCAACATAATTTGCATCCTCCATTTGATTATTATTATCATCTAAATAGATCATAGGAACAACTTCCATGGGATTGACTGGTCTTTCATGGCCCTTGACCATGTCATAATGCATTGATTGCTTATCAGATGATTCCACTTTTAACTTTTCTTGAATAGAATTTTCATTCTTTTCATTCATGGCTGTATATTGAACACACTTTTCGTCATTGTCTGAGCCCCGCATAGCTAAATAGCTCATTTCTTGTCCTCCATAGTAACCAGGCATCGTGGTTTTACTAACCAACGTTTCGAGTTCAGTATAATAATCACGAATGGATTCGTCGATCAGTTCACCCAATCTATTGACCAACTGTTTAAAATTGGGTCGTTCAATTGGAATGGATAGCCAACAATCTGTCATTATCTTATAAATGATTTGTGGACATTTGTCTGGTCTCTCCATTCGATATCCTTTAACCAACTTGAGATAGAAGTGTTGATCCGCAGGTAAACCTGGATAAGGTGATTTGCCCAAAGTAAATATTTCCCAAAGTAGAACCCCAAATGACCAGACATCAGATTGAGTTGTGTAGAGTCGATCACCAATGGACTCAATGGCCATCCATTTGATGGGCAATGGAGTGTCGACCTTCTTGATGTAATTGTAATCCTTCTGAATGTCTTTTGCCAAACCAAAGTCACATATTTTAAGGACTCCTTTATCGGCCACAAGAACATTTCGAGCAGCTAAGTCACGATGAATCAACTGTGTTAACAAATAAAACAATTGTATTAATAATTAAAAAAAACAATAATTAAAGAAATTACTTTTTTCTGTTGTAAATATTCCATTCCTCTGGCTACTTGAAAAGCAATCGCAATCAAAAAACTTGTACTGATTTGCAAAGAAGCACTCGAATCTGCCTCATCAGATGTGACACTCGTACAGAATCCATCAGCAGAGTTGATACAATCTGCATTACCTGAATCGTTATTGGAATAATAATTGGAACTACTTGTTGCAGTTGAATTTTCCATCGAAGTGTAGGTTCCTGTCGGATTGAATGGATAATATTTTTGACTATATTGTTGCATTTTTGGATCATACAAGCCAGAGACTGGATCAACTTGATTAATGAAAAAATTGCGCCGTTCCCTCAAATAGTCTCTTAAGTTGCCATAAGGACAGTACTCGACGATTATCATTAGTTTACTGTGCTCATGGCATTTAGTTACAGCTCCAAGGCAGTTGACGATATTCAGATTTCGACCCATGTGAATGAGTATTTTAAGCTCAGCTATAAGTGCTTTAACCTGCAAATAATCAGCATCTGGTTTCAACATTTTAACAGCAACAAGACTATTTCTTCCAGTTTCACTGAGGCCGATTGCTTGAGCTAGAACAACTCGACCAAAAGCGCCTTCACCAAGAGTTCGTTTTATTTTCAGTCGATCAGGTGGAAACTCCCATCGAGAATCATAAGACAACAAGTCAACCTGTTCATCTAAAGGTACATTAGGGTTGTATGAATTGATTGATGAAGGACTCAGAAGGTCTGCAGTCAAGTATTTAGTGCGCTTTCGATGTCGGGCTACAACCAAGGAAACTATAAAAATGCAAGTGCAACTCACAAGAACAGTAATGACGAATAAAATGATGACGACTTTAAGAGCATTACTCAAACTACCAACCACTTCCAGGAATATTTGTCGTCGAATCGTTCCTCCTTTGTTCGATATCCTACATTCATATTTACCTTTATCAGATACATTCAAGTTCTGGATAACTAAATGTGAACTGTCATCGACTGTATGAATATTTAGTCTATCGTTCTGCTCTATCACTTGATCATCTTTTAACCATTCAATTGTAGGCTTAGGCTTTCCGATGGCGGCACAAAATAGCTCGAACATCGATGATTGGGCGAATTTGACTAAAGTTTTGTTCATGTTTGAGCTCATTAACTTTGGTGGAATCGCCCAGATTATGGTAATCTTCTTGTTCTTAACGACATAAGATACTGAATCGCTCAACTTCAAAGAAGAGTTTGTATCTTTTGTAGATGATTCTTCGCTTTTCGCATCGACTTTCAATGTTGCATTGCAATAGTAAGTTCCAGCTGAATACTTATCGATTTTCATCAAAGTCAATGTACTCACTAAATTTTCACCCTGATTGTTGAGATTGTGGATCATTATTCGAGATGTATTCGGCAATTTATGAGGCAGTGTATGACATTTACTTTGGTACCAATCGAGTTTAGAATAATTCAGTGGCGAAGCTTCACACCTAAATAATAAATCATCTCCTACAATGTATTCAGTTGCATTGACTCTCAAGTGAATCTCTTCTGAACCAGAACTAGTTATCATGAAATACCTATCAGCGTGTTTGGATCCATGGCTATTGGAGGCTTCGCATCTATAGATACCGTCATGAGAGGCATTCTTTATGTTTAAAACCGATCGAAATTGATAAAAGTTTATGATTGACTCTTCGCCTCTTCTGGGTAAAAACCATTGATTAGTTTCCCAATCGGATTCATTATTGAAACGGTCATTGAATCGATTGGCTATTATGCGATTCGAGTTAGTCACTCGATTACAAGATGTGTGTTTACAAGGAAAGAAAGACCAAGAAATATTCAAAGGCTGATTGGCGATTGCATAGCAGTTAAGTGAATGCGAAGAGCCTTTAGAGAAGAAGCGTTGTGATCCAATGATCTCAACATGGGTTTGCTGTTCAGTTGATACTGATTTATTCATTAATGATTTGCTCGTGTTTTGTTGAGCAATGCTGAGTGTAGGTAAGGCCAGTGGCTTGGACTGATTGCTTCCGTTGCCAGTCTCTATCATCAGCCCTTCTTTGAACCAGTCTGTTCAGAAACAGATTAACAACAAGAAGAACGAGAATTCCTCATATTACAACGTACTAAAGTTCCAGGTAATCAATATTTAACTACATGAGTTTGGCCATATTAGATCATTCATAATGAATTTTTTACTTTTCAACATTTCAGTTAAATGACTAACAATGGAAAATCATTCTCTTTATTGTGGTTAATTCATTATGAATATAATAATTGCTGCTCTTGTTAATAGTTAAACCATGAAACCCTAAGGATATGAGTATTATTTTCATTTTGACGAGCTACGTGCTTCGACTACAGTGTTGATGGCTGTTCGTTTAAAAGTATTTGTTTGTTTTGCAGTGAATAAGATTCGTTTATTGAGATGAAAGCCATTAACGAAGGAAGCTTAGTCATCGCCATTTCAATTATCCTCATAATCATCACCAAGATAGTTTGTTTAGCCTTCATAACTGACAATAAAGCATGAGAATAAAGCAAGGATTGCTGAACTTACCATTCATTAGAAAATGAATTGAAGTTTGAATATTTGCATCCTGATAAGAGCAAATGTATCTACCGATCTGATTAGAGGTTACATTGAGTATCGTCAATTTATTTTGAAACTTTGTTTTCTTCTTATCAGTCAGGCATTCATCAGTCATGTTTGTAGATGTTTCCGTAAATATTGAGTTATTCTGAAAAGAAATAAAAACTGAGCAATCTTTTCATATTTGCATTGGTATTTTAATTTTGACTTATAGTTTAACCAACTATAATAGTAACTCACCAAAGTATTTGCTGTATAGTTCCATGTTAATGGTTCATTTCCACTGCAGCATAAGTAGATAGCACTTCCAAATGGTATTATTGGTGAGTAAGATTCTGATTCATTCGTTTTGAATGAAATATTGAATAAACCAGAGGACTTTATGTGGATGTTTGGAGGCTCTGAGGAAATTGAAAGATGTGAGTTAACCAAGACTGAACAGCAAAAAGAAACAAATCCCAGCCAATTTCTGAACATTTTATCTTATGAGAATCGACGTTCAATGTACATCTAATATCATAAGAAATCGAAATATAGTTATTCGATTATTATTAACAGAAACATGATGATTACTTGCACCATTATTTTCATATTGTTTCAGTGTTGTTGTGATAAGTTAAAGAGACGAGGAAAAGGAAATCCTTTTCAGTAAATAGATTAGTATTGAATAGACAAAATCATTAGTCGAAATGCCCTTGAATATTCCTACTTGTGATAGCTCATTCCGGAGATTCTCAGTAATTTGTGGATAATTTTGTTTCTATCTGATTCTAAGTTTATAGGAAAAACTTGATATCCGTCAAAAGATTTATAGGAATCATCTAATCAGAATAATCTGAGCAATAAAAATTACTCATTAGTAAAGCATAGTTAATTTAATGATTGGTTCGATGAAAACGTTAGGTTAACGGGCAAAAGAGAAAACTATTACCTAAAGTAATAGATGAGTTAAATCATATCATATAAAACCTTTCAATACATATATACAAATTGTCGATAGACAGCATGTATATCGACAATTTGATAAAGCTTCATGGTTTCTCAATCATTCAAGAAATCGCAAGTTTTTGCATTAAATAACGTTAGTTTTATTTCGATGAAACAATTCGACCTTTTAATATGAAACATGAGAATGCAATTCATTGCCAGTTAGATGGACAAATGAACAAGACAGCGACAATATGAAAGGAAGCGATAAAGGAAGTTAAGCAATTCCAAATGTTACTGTACAGTTCGTAAATAACTTAGTTTGTTAGTTGATTGTTTTTAAGGTGCATCGAGCAATATGATTTCAATCAAATAGTATATAGGTTAATATGAATTTTCAACTTAATTTGTTTGATTTTTAAAGTCACAATTATTCATAAAATTAGTAAAAATTTTATTGATTATCGCATAAAAGGTATAAAAAGCTGGTCAACTCGTCTTTTTGCATAAGATGAATATTTATCATATTAAGCAACCAGTTTTTTTGTCCACATGCACCTGTGAAATCGTCCATGTCTGTAAAGAAAAAAATGAAAAAAATTGACAATCAAAGTGCACTCAATTCGAATCCATAATCATCTCATCGGATTAGACAAAAGTATCAGTGAAGGGCTTCATTTCAATAGAGATGAAACGCATGCTGCTAACCCAATAGATAAATGAAATGACAACTAACCTATTGACCAAATCATGGCACCACCGTAACCTTCATTTTTGATGAACTCCATTTTAGCCGCTAAGCTCTCGTCATCTTCATAGCCAACCCATTGATCTTTGTGAAACGCGTAAGGAGCCTTACCTTGAGCATCCCATTTTCTGGTCCATTTTCCCGACTCAATCTGAGTACAAATCTGTGAATCAAAAGGCAATTTATAATGAATAAATGATTTTTGCTGAAAGTTAATGAATTCTTATTTATCAGTTCACGGTTTAATTTCACTTGCATATTTTTCATGTGCCTTGCAATTTGCCATATTTGAAATTGATTGAGTAAAAACATGAACCGATAAGAAGTTTATTAGTTTGTCTCAGACAAAAATTAATTCTTCACTTTGAGACCTTTTGAGATGCAAATTATTATTTTGATATTATTTAACATACTTCGTAATAAGTCAAGAATCCGGGCTCATGTGAATAGTTACCAGCTACACCTAATCCTGGTTGTGTTATCGGTGACTTTTGCGTGTTCTTTTTGGGATTCTTCAGAGTAAAGCTTTTCCCAAAGAAAGGAACACCAACAATCAGCTTATTCTTAGGAGCTCCTGCATCAACCCACATTTTGAGTCCGTCTCTCTATCATGAAAGGCAAATAAATCATCAAATATTATGAGGTGAGACAACGAATTGTTTTACTGCCAGCTTCATGATAAACTTACTACATTCAAAGTCATTTCATCAAAAGTATCAAAAGATCTCGGATACAATGGACTGTGAATATCGGCAAAACCAGTCCAGTTCGTCCTCAGATGAAAAGCCATAACATGAATTTGGTCTAAATGTCTGATGATTGCATGATGATTAAGGAAATTTAAAAAGGTATTAAACTAATCGCTTTCATTACAAACTAAATTCAGGTTCCACTGTATTGTAGTAATCATTACCTCGATATTTCACCAACATCATAGCCAATTTTCCTGTTCATATTAAACTTTGTGTTGGTTGAAAATATCAACATTACTTGATTTATTATAACTTGAACTAACCATTCTATCTTTCTAAATGTTCAATTTGACTTATTAGTCATGATTTACCTTTAATCTAAATTCATTTTCAATTTTTGACTTTTTTCACTTTTTCTCGTTTCATCTTCCAACATCACCAATAATGTTTCTGACTAACATTCAACACTTTATTCACTCATAGTTCATCATCATGAACTTAATGATTAATAATTAGTTTTGACCTGATAAGTCATTTAAGTATTAACTATGAAAAACCCTTATTTTGACCTTTTCCCATACATTTCACCATATGAAGCTACTGAATAAAGAACCTCTGGTATTACTCGATATTTTTACATATCGTTAGCTTCCTTTCATTGAGACAAATCTGTCGGTAACATTTGTTTACCTGTACGACTCATAGTTCATGAGAAAACCTCAGTTTCTCCATGAACTATGAACCCTCCAAAGTCCTAGGGAAAGTGTCCACTGTACCTCAACCATTCAACCTAATAACTTGATCCTTTCTTTAATCATTTACTATTCACCTACTCTAACTAACTACAACACCTAATTTCACCCCTTAAACCTAGAAGCTATTTTGACCCTTCAACTTGACCATTTTTACTTGCTTAAGCTATTTTCAACCTCTTGCTATCAACAAACACAAATCCCTAGAGGAACTCACATTCCTTGGTTTTCTTCCACTCATTCATCTTAACCGTCAAACAAACTCTTACTCACCGAGGACTCAAAAGGGCTGTCTTACCTGCCCTACTATAAATACCTAAAATGTCACCTTAACACTCATGGTGTATATTGTATGTCGATGGTGTACTTTTGTTGTCTGTTTAAACTTAACTAGTTTTGTATCTTTTTTGTATTGTCTTCTTGGTGTTAATTCACTTAAGTTGAATCTGTCAATTGCTTCTTCATCATCTTTAACAATTTTGAATAAACTTGTTTAAATTGAATATTTTGACTTCATGTCTGTTTGGTCTGAATATTGACCGTGTGTTTTGTTTTATTTGATTCATCTTAACCTTATTAAATTCACCATCATAACCAACAGGTTATGGGCCCAGTCACGCTTTGCTGACTTGTGTTTGTTTGTCACCAGCATTTTGATACTAAATCTTTGAGCCTGAATATTGGCTATTGTGTTTACATTTGTACATCATCTTTCTGAATATTCATCACCGACAACACCATCATGATTACCAACGACATCCAAGTGATAAAATTAACCAAAACAAATTATTATGTTTGGAAACGATCCATTGAAACCATCTGTAAATCCAAAGGAATACTTCCAGTTCTCGACGGTTCATCATCACGTCCATCTGAATATACTGCTGATGAGATTCTTACTCTCACTCAACGTGACATCACCAGAAGAAACACCGAAATCAATGAATGGGATGTCAAGGATTCCACTGCTCAACAACTAATCATGCTTAGCATTGACTCCGAAGATGTAAGTCTAACAAGTTTATTTATTAACGCTACCACTGCTCATGAAATGTTTACCAATATAATTAATTTTCGAGAAGAGCGAACGAAACAAAGCTCATTTAGTGTTAAAAGAAAAATCATTGAAGTAAAGTTCACTTCGGCTCACACAGTTGCTAGTTATTTCTCCGAACTTGAGACTGCTATTAAGTTAAATAAAGATCGTAAAATTGATGTTGATGAAGAAAATCTTGTAATGAAAGTTTTAGATGATTTACCGATTGTTTATGAAAATTTCCGACAAAATATTGAAATGAGAATTGATACAGGTGATTCAATTACCTTAGCTCAGTTGAAAGCAAATCTCTTACGAACTGAGAAACGTTTGAATGGAGGTAATCCTGGTAAGAAAGGTGAAGCTCTGTTAGTTAAACCTGCGAATAAATTTCATTATAATGTGAAAGATAAGTTTTGTTTCAATTGTGGATTGAAAGGACACCTGAAAAATGATTGTAGACGAAGACCAAACAACAGCAACAACAATAATTTCAATAGAAATAACAATAACTACAATCAAAGAAACAATCTGAATTCTCAATCAAATAACTTCAGAAATAATTCAAACAGATTTACCAATCAAAACAGAAGTAACAACTATTCCAATAATAACAACAACTCTAACAGACATAATTACTCGAGCAATAATAACAATAATTTCAGAGAAAATAGGAATTTCCAGCGTCCTAGCAATGTTAACTTACCGTCCAACAGAAATAATTATTTAAACAGGAATAATGAACAACAAGCTAATTTAGCTTTGAACAATAATGAAAATGAAATGAGTGAACAACATGATATTGCTTATACAGCACATGAAGATAAATCAAAAGAGTTAGTCTGGTATTGGGACTCAGGTTGCTCTTATCACTGTACCAGTGACATTAATAGTTTTAGGGAATTTGTTGAATTGGAAGAGCCAATACCTTTGACTATTGGAGATGGGAATAAAATTACTGGTATAGCTAAAGGTACAGTATTAGCTGAATGTTTTGATGGCAAAAAATGGAACAAATGTAAACTGGAAAATGTATTGTTTACACCTCGTCTTGGTAAGTTTAACCTGTTCTCGTGGATGCAAGCAATGAAAAAAGGTTACAAGTTATTTTCCTCATTAGAAGGAACAGAAATTAGTGATAGTAAGTCGGGCAAAGTATTGATGACTTGTAGACCAGTTGGTAATTCATTTGTTCTAAATTTGAAGACACGAAAAGATGAAAATAATTTTGCTTTAATTGTTAAAGATGCATCACTAAGTGAGTGGCATAAAAGACTTGCACATGTAAACGTCCATAAAATCATTGAAATGTCCAAAGAAGGTTTACTACCTAAAATAAAGATTGATTGTGATCCTAATAAATTTGTTTGTGATGGCTGTATGAAGGGTAAAATGTGTTCAAAGTCATTCAAGACTGCAGTACCAAGAGAAGTAAAGGTTGGTGAAGCTTTCCATTGCGATCTAGTTGGTCCAATGGAAGCGTCATCAATTAGAGGTTCAAATTATGCATTAGTAATAAAAGATGAATTCAGTTCCTTTCGTTCAATTTACTTCATTACCCACAAATCAGACACTTTTGCAAAAATTGATGAACATATTAAGGAGACTGAAAAGGTTACCGGTTCGAAGGTGAAGATAATGAGGTCCGATAATGGATTAGAGTTTATTAATAGTAAAGTTGAAACAATTTTAAAAAACAATGTAATTACTCATGAGTTGAGTTGTCCGTACACTCCTCAACAGAATGGATTGATTGAGAGAGAAAATCGATCAATAGCTGAATTAGCACGATCAATGTTGTTCGGAAGTAAATTACCTAAAAGACTGTGGGCCGAAGCCATGAACACTGCTGTGTATGTAATGAATTTAGTTATTAACAAAAAACATAAAGGTATAACACCATATGAGCTGTGGTACAATAAAAAACCTTGTTATGACCATCTTCGCGTTTTTGGTTGTGTTGTATACGTTAAAATACCTGATCAACAAAGAAAGAAGTGGGACGCAAAGTCCAAGAAATGTATCTTCATCGGTTATACCGAATCAACAAAAAACTATCGTGTTTACGATCCATTTTCCAACAAAATTAGTGTCACCTGTAATGTTAAATTTTCTGAAAATGATGATAATGGTGAAGCTACAATTGATAGTGTTAACAATGATGAAGTTGTTAATTTGAGAAAATTATGTGGAGTCAATGATGAAGATGAAAATGAAGATGATAATGACTCTGATAGTGATGAGACTATCATTTACGATCCACTTGATGAGGATGAACTGACCAACCTAAATTTAAAAGGAAATTCATTTGTTAACATGTGTCTTGCTTCAATTTCTGACAATATATTGGAACCATTAAGTTATGATGAAGCGATGAGTTCAACAGACTCAGTTAATTGGTTAAACGCAATGAAAGATGAAATGAAATCTTTAAATGATAACAATGTTTATGACTTAGTTGAACTTCCAAAAGGTAAACGAGTAATTTCCTGTCGATGGGTTTACCGAATCAAACGAAAAAGTGATGGAACTATTGAGAGGTTCAAAGCTAGATTGGTAGCTAAAGGTTACTCTCAAAAATATGGAGTGGACTACTTCGAGACTTACAGTCCAGTTGCTCGTTACGACTCAATACGAGCAATACTTTCAATTGCTGCCGCTAATAAAATGTATTTGTTACAGTTTGACGTTAAAACTGCATTTCTTTATGGTGATCTCTATGAAGAGATCTTTATGCAGCAACCAGTTGGATTTGACGATAAAAGTGGTAAAGTGTTTAAATTAAAGAAAGGCTTGTATGGCCTGAAACAAGCTCCACGACAGTGGAATGCAAAAATTGTTGAGTTCTTCTCAAACCATAAATTCACTCAATGCAAAGCTGATCAATGTATTTTCGTCAATAATCAAAATTCCCTAACTATTTGTGTCATTTATGTTGACGATGGACTTGTTGTTAGTACTAACAAAAGTGAACTTGAAAAATTAACTAATGTCTTGTCAAAAGCTTTCGATATGAAGTTCCAATCTCCTCAAGTTTTTGTAGGTATGGAGATTATCCAGAGTCCAGATCGTTCATCAATTAAAATCAAGCAATCAGCTTACATTAAATCATTGCTGAAACGTTTCCACATGGAAAATTGCAAACCAATTGGTTCTCCTGGCGATCCTAACATTAAACTGATTGCAACTAATGATCCACCTGATGCATCGATTCCATATCAAGAGGCTGTTGGTGCTCTTCTGTACCTCTCTATCATCTCTCGACCTGATATTACCTTTCAGGTCAACAAAGCAAGTCAATTTAATTCATGTTATAATGACATTCATTGGGGAGCAATAAAGAAAATCTTCCGGTACCTTAAAGGTACAACTGATTATGGCATCATCTACAATTATCCGAATCCTGAACTTCAATTACATGGCTATTGTGATGCTGACTTTGGTGGTGATCTCGTTAAAAGAAAGTCTACAAATGGATTCACTGTCACACTTGGAGATTCACCAGTTTCTTGGGCTTCGAGACTTCAGAAAAGTGTCGCTTTGTCGACCACTGAAGCTGAATATGTTTCAATTTCGGAATGTACTAAAGACGTTTTGTGGTACATTCAACTACTGACCGAATTACATGTTAATTTGACCACTCCAATCACCATTTACAGCGACAATCAAGGAGCGATCCTTTTATCGAAAAATAGTTGCCTGCCTAAACTAACCAAGCATATTGATATGCGGTTTCATTTCATTCGTGATCATCAAGAAAATGGAAAAATACGAATCGAGTATATTCCAACAACTAAACAACCAGCCGATATGTTAACCAAATCGTTAACACCAGCAAATTTAAGCAAATGTATCAATTTGCTCAACATTAGTTAATTGTGTTTGTTCATAGCAAGGGAGGCTGTTGGTTGAAAATATCAACATTACTTGATTTATTATAACTTGAACTAACCATTCTATCTTTCTAAATGTTCAATTTGACTTATTAGTCATGATTTACCTTTAATCTAAATTCATTTTCAATTTTTGACTTTTTTCACTTTTTCTCGTTTCATCTTCCAACATCACCAATAATGTTTCTGACTAACATTCAACACTTTATTCACTCATAGTTCATCATCATGAACTTAATGATTAATAATTAGTTTTGACCTGATAAGTCATTTAAGTATTAACTATGAAAAACCCTTATTTTGACCTTTTCCCATACATTTCACCATATGAAGCTACTGAATAAAGAACCTCTGGTATTACTCGATATTTTTACATATCGTTAGCTTCCTTTCATTGAGACAAATCTGTCGGTAACATTTGTTTACCTGTACGACTCATAGTTCATGAGAAAACCTCAGTTTCTCCATGAACTATGAACCCTCCAAAGTCCTAGGGAAAGTGTCCACTGTACCTCAACCATTCAACCTAATAACTTGATCCTTTCTTTAATCATTTACTATTCACCTACTCTAACTAACTACAACACCTAATTTCACCCCTTAAACCTAGAAGCTATTTTGACCCTTCAACTTGACCATTTTTACTTGCTTAAGCTATTTTCAACCTCTTGCTATCAACAAACACAAATCCCTAGAGGAACTCACATTCCTTGGTTTTCTTCCACTCATTCATCTTAACCGTCAAACAAACTCTTACTCACCGAGGACTCAAAAGGGCTGTCTTACCTGCCCTACTATAAATACCTAAAATGTCACCTTAACACTCATGGTGTATATTGTATGTCGATGGTGTACTTTTGTTGTCTGTTTAAACTTAACTAGTTTTGTATCTTTTTTGTATTGTCTTCTTGGTGTTAATTCACTTAAGTTGAATCTGTCAATTGCTTCTTCATCATCTTTAACAATTTTGAATAAACTTGTTTAAATTGAATATTTTGACTTCATGTCTGTTTGGTCTGAATATTGACCGTGTGTTTTGTTTTATTTGATTCATCTTAACCTTATTGAATTCACCATCATAACCAACAGGAACGATTGCAGATAAGATGTAATTTCGTTTGACGAATTCTTCTTTCAGTTCCTATTAACCAATCTATACAATATAAAGTCAAACTATGAAATTTTTGCGGGAAGATTGTGGCCAAACTAAACGGGTTCTAAAGAAAATTTTCGCATAGGATGAAAGCCATGATTAAACTACAATCGCAAAAAATAGTTCGAACTTTATCGGAATTCAGGTTACTGAGAAATTAGTGTTCAAACAGGGTAGGGGAAAAAACGCAGAATCCGTATCTTTTACTATTAACTTTGGGGGAAAAACTTTTTGGTTAATCAGGTTGATGGTTTATTGTTGGTTTAGAAGGATAAGTAAAACTGTCTTTCGAGTAAAGAGTTAAGTGAAAAATATAGTACCTTAACTGTACAGAAAGATTTCACTCTGTTCAGCTGTATAACCAGATTTTATTTTAGTTTTTAGTTTTTCTCATTGACGATGGTTTTTCATCAAGAATTTGAGTCTTTAAATATGGATTGAATTTATTGTGTTTCAGTGAAAAAATTACGATCAGTCATGATCGGGGGTTCCACTTGTACAGATTAAATGAAGAAATATTCGTTGAAATCTCGAAGTGAGAAGGAGCAATGAACTGACCTTCAACAAGTGAGAAAAGTTTGTGACATCAGATAGCTCTCCACCTCTCCATGGCACTCCTGGATATTTCCAGTCCAAATCTAGTCCATCCAATTTGTATTGGCTTAGAAATGACATGACAGAAGAAATGAACTTTTGTCTTGATTCTTTTTCACTTATCATAAGTGAGTATTTAGCTCCGTTCTCAAGCCAACCTCCGACAGAGACCATAATTTTAAGGTTAGGCCACTTCGCTCGTAAATCAGCAAATTTTTCAAATCCTTGAAAGTAAACAATTTACATTGTTATTTGTCAAACGGAATTTGTAAGTCACTTACTTCGATTCAAACTATGTGATTCAGAACTCGATTTGTTCTGGCACGTCATATCATCAGAGGCACATTCATTGTAGTCAAAGTACTTATCTGGGAATTTAATTTCATTTGTTTTTTCATCCAAACCAAGATAAGCGTATACCAAATGGGTACATAAATCACCAGGAACATCGTCAATTTCATAATTCATCGGATGTGTTCGATAGATCGCCCATGTGAATAGATAACACACAATTTTATTGGAGACTTCGGCTGCATCTTGCACCATTGATCCTTAAAATGTACAAACAGAACAAATTAATATTCATCTAAATTATTACTTGCATTAATCGTACCCAAAATGATGAAAATGGAAAGTTTTGCTAACCTAACCGCCGCCATTTGAACTCTTCTGGCAAACATTAATTAATACTTTGAATATATGGTTCAGGTCTAAATATGTTGGTTTATCTGATCGATTGCTTTTTTTGAAACGATATCCTGTTCTCTGTGCCCTGAATTGTAATGATGAACCCAATGAGTACATATCCTGATGAATACATCCTTTTTGATCCCCTGAATACTGCATCCATTCATTTTTCGACTGATCAAGTAAAAATTAATAAATAATAAAAGTAATAAAAAATTCTATTCTCTTTCAATGAAAGTTGAATAAAAAGTTCGATTTCTTCACAATTCTACAACATTCAAATCAAATAGGAAATTAAAGTCTTGCTTTTGGATAATAACGGTTGATATGAAATACATGGGCACACGTCCAACACTTTGAACACCTTTCTCAACTCATGAGCTCTGAAACTATAGAAGCAGATTGGACTATTACGATTCATTGGAAACAAAAATTTCCTTTGATGAGTGGCTCAAACACATAGATACGAACATCATTCAATTTAATTCATAATAGTGTAAAATATGAAAGGTGGAGCTGATTCAACGCAAGAATAAATTTCTGTGTATTTTATACTGTAATATGCTGAATCTCTTAGGCTCATGATATTCCTGTAGTAGTCCATTCTTACCTCGAGATAACTCAATGAAAATAATGAAGAAACTGGCCTACTTGAGCTTCTGTGCCTTTGCAGGACTATTGCTTGTCTTTGTCCTTATAATTTGTGCTTTTGTTTATTTCATTTCTGACAAAGAAGCAGATATTAAGTTGAACTCTCAAGTTTCTGGTAAAATAGTGTGCTACTTTGGTACTTGGTCAACTTATCGCCCATCTCCGTGGACTTATACAATTGACAACATTCCAGGTAATTTGTGTACTCATTTGATCTATACGTTTGTAGGTTTCAACGAAACATTTCAACTCAAGTATTTGGACAATCAATTTGATATTGTTAGAGGTAAGTTGCGCTTGATTTGACTTTTGCTATTTACAGAGTCTATTAGTTACTTAAATTTCAATTCTGTTTCAGAGGGTTTCAAGAAGTTTGTCGCCCTCAGAGCCAAATGGCCACGACTAAAGTTCATTATAGCTGTGGGTGGTTGGAGTGTTGGAGGCGCATTGTTTTCTAATATGGTCAAAGATCGAGAATCACGAAAATCATTCATTACATCTGTTGCCACTTTTCTGACTCGATATAAGTTCGATGGATTGGATTTAGACTGGCAATATCCAGGGTCAACAGAGCATCAAGGAAATTATCAAGACAAAGAAAATTTTGCAAAACTAATCAAGGTTAGATCTATTCGCCCAGCGAATAGGTATTTTTCAATGCAAACTTGTTACCTTTTCCTACAAGATTCACAAATTCAGTTAACTTGATCGACTGAGCTTGTTCATTGCATGACATGAAAAGTCATTATTATGCTTGTCAAACATTCAACTGAAAAAAGTATCTTAAGCAATTTTTCGTGACGAAAGGAATAAGTGCCAATGAAAATCATTTTACACTTTTGATTATTCCATTGCAGGAACTACGAACTGAGTTTGATAAACATAATTATATTTTGTCATCGACTGTACCAATAACCTCATCTCGAATACAAGATGGTTATAAAATCACAGAATTGGCGAGGTAAGCACACAATTGTTGAAATTGATCAACTTGAATCGAATCATAATACAAACTCATCTCCAATTTCAGGGATCTTGATCATTTTCATGTCCTTACTTACAATTTGAGGGGAGTTCGTTCACCTTTAGTCGATGTGCACAGTCCGCTGTTTCCAAGATCAACTGATGGAGAAGAAGTTTTTGGATTGAATGTTGTAAGTTTCATTACACCATTTTCTTCATTTCTCGCATAATAACGTTCAGTTATTAAATCGCCAAATCTATCAACAAAAATGAACTAATCGAGTTGATTAACATAGAGGGATGGTCTTCAATATTGGGCTTCATTAGGTGTTCCAAAGTACAAATTAGTTGTTGGAATTCCTTTCTTTGGTAAAACTTTCACATTGGAATGCGAAGAAAACAATGGAATCAAAGCTCCGATTAATAAAACATATCACACGGGAAGACCAGGTGAATTTACACGGGAAGCTGGTATACTTGCTTATTATGAGGTCTGTAGCACTTAGTCTAGTTCAACAATAATCTGTACAATTTTGCTGATCGCCCATCCTTGATTCAGATTTGTCCAGGACTTTTATTGAACAAATGGACTCGAGAATGGGATGACGAAACTAAAGTTCCTTATGCATATTATAAAGATCAATGGGTTGGGTATGAAGATGAAGAGAGTATAAGGTTCAAGATGGAGTTCATCAGAAAAGAAGGTTATGGTGGAGCCATGATTTGGACTTTGGGTTTGTATTCATGATAGTTGATTCATTTTAAATGAATACCTTTAACTCTTTACCTTCTTTTCAATACTAGATCTTGATGACTTCAGAGGTGAATGTGGGGAAAATAACATCTTACTTCGGACTATTCATAAACATCTACGAGTAAATACGCTCAAGTTTTTCACTTGATCATTTTGTATTCCATTCTGCTAATCAATCGATGAATAAAATTATCGACATCAGTTTTTTAAACGACAGCTTGACGATAAAGATCGATTTCAATCATATTGATTCTTTTAACTCTCTGCCCCATGCTCAACACCTAATGTAACATCAAAGTAAATCGAGAGTAATTTGAGTGAACCAGCAGCCAGATTCAGCTAAGTAATCATGAAAAGTAATTTAAAGTAAGATTATTAATGAACCAGATCGAGTGTGGAGTTTATCCAATTTCATTATAATTTTTAATCTGTTTTGTTTTAGTGACAAAGCCTGTGAATTATTCATTTCCAAATCGATATCGACTTCATGACTCACAATGCTTTTTTATCTTCTTGATTCACATAAAAATAATAAGCTACTCTGACTGATCAATTGAAAGATCAGTTGATCAATATCTTGAACCGTCAATCAGCATAAACCGGCCTAACAGAATCAGATAAAACAAAAAAGTGATTGCTGTTTGGATAAAAGTTGATGCTTGAATTTAAAGTGAAAATGCATTCCCTGTTTAGGGACGGACTTTAATCCAAAAGACTTGCCTCTTTTTGTGCCTTGTCTCGAATGGTTCTCAAATACTCAGTAATTAACAATATTTAACTTGAAATGAGCAAATCTAAATTATTAACAAATTTGTTTAAAGCGAAACTTATAACTTTATTTGCTAAAGCTGTGATCATTCGAGCAACATTGAAATTGAATCATTTTTTGTTCCAAGGTATTGTTTTTTATTACGTTTTGTTAGCATATTACTTACCCATGTTACTGTGCCATTCTCATATCAATAGGATAAACGAAGCTTATAACTTCCAGCCTTGAGAGATTTACCAGAAATACGAGACAGAACTGAAAATCGTAAAGGCTATCTAGTAATTCTGGTAAAACTCTTGAGGCTGGAAATCGCCAAAACCATTGGATCACCAGAATCGTCGAATCCAGGAATCCATTGCAAAGTTTAAAAGGCATAAGTTTCTGTTGCACTTACTTTTTCGATCCTTATTGAGATTAATCTGTAAAAATAAAAAATTCAAGAAACATTGACTTTAATATAACAAGACAACAACAATCTCAGCATTTTGACTCATTACTGTTTCTTTCAAACAATGAAGTAATAAAATAAAGCGAAAGTATTTGGTAAATGATACTTGTTTTGAACAGAATGGTTCAACTTACATGCAACTTAAAAACTCAAAGCTGAAGAGTTTTTGTTTTCAAGTTTGGCAATATTACAGTCTCTAGACAGAATAGGAAGTAAACGGCCGAGATAACAAGGATTGAATGGACTAAGAGTTGCTCGAGTCAGAGCCATTTTATTGAGCAAGGTTTTGCCTACAGGATGAAGAAGGCTCGTGCCTTGAGGAAGCGTTAGTCACCCTGAAACTAATGCGATAACAAAAAGGAAACGGATTGGTTGGTTAGGTTAACTTAGAATTTGGCAGATTTCATTCCTATAAACATTCATCCGTTGAAATGCTTTATATAGATAGTCCAGTGTTTGATTTGTAGTTTAGAAGCTCATTTCTCATTTCAACCAATAAATAGCTGAGCATAAAATGTAATTTACTCTTCTCAAGATACTCTTTATTCGGCTGTGATTACTGAATAATCAGTTACAATAAATTTCACTGATTTTCCTTGTGAATATTTTCTTTAAAGTGGCCATATTTTCAGTGAGTCTGTCACTGTGAGATTTGAAATTGAAATGCATTCTCACAACGTCAGACTCTCTGCAAATTGGATCGCATATCTTACAATACAATTCACTGTATTTATCCAGGATGAATAATGATTGTCCATCTACCAAGAATACGCCAAACGCCATACGCCAAATTGGCGCATTGTATTTATTAAACCAAAATAAATTAATAATGCAAGTCAATTTTTCATTGGCTAATTGAACAATAATGAAATGTTTGATCTAATCTTGCAATAGGGAAGATTCACGATTGATCTGTGATTTTATTTTCCTCAGCATCTTGCCATGGATAAATTGGTAGAATTGAGATGAACTAGTTGATTCACCATTAACACTTAAACTAACCAGATTAAACAAACTACTTTTCAATTAAAGATTTTGAATTTACATGAATATCACTTTATACTATGAAAGCTTTAAATTCAGAAAATGTCGATTCTTTCAGTTTGTATGATTTTTATCAGTTCTCATAATCATGTGTTGGAATTTTACAGAGTTTAAACCATTAAGAAGTATTCGATATTCAATTCATATTCTATTGAACTTTAACCAAAACTCCATTTTTGTTTTTAATGTGAATATTTTGTAACACAATTCTAATGTTATCAGTTATTCTGGTGGTTTCTGAATTCCATGATTTCTCAAACTCTGACTATTCACTATTCCTTTCACTGTTTTATCAATTTACAGCCATATATTACCTGTATGAATTAGAACTGAATATCATGAATGATATCCTATACCGATCCTTAATCTGCAAACTGCGCATTACCATCAGTTATTATCAACTATTTAAGCTCATGTTATTCCATTGTTTGCTCATAACGTGAACTTTTATTGTACTGTCAATTTGAATTCGCATCAATCATTCCTACGACAATTCAGTTTAAATATCAACAGAAGCAAGAATATGGCAAAATTATTCAGTTTGACTTTCCTTTTTGGAATCATCGTTGTTCTGGCCACAATGAATCTTGGCTACTTTGTATCCGCAGGTAAGATTATTGAAGCTTCTATGAATTTTCATTTTAACCATTAAATCTCTTACTAATAATTACCCATTCCAATTGAATTATTCTCCTCTTATATCTTACTTCAAAGATTGTTGGTGGACTGGCTGTCAAAAAAGTGATTGGGCTGTCGTTGGATGTAAGCAGTATGGACGTGAAGAGAAAGAAACTTCTGATTGTCCCGGTGGAAAGAAATACAAGTGCTGTAACTAATTATTACATGCATTGTGAGTATTCGGAGTTGAATCAATCTTAAGTTCTACTGAATTGATTTACTGATGCCTAACCGTTTAGAAACCGACCATTCCATTGAATATAAAACACACAAACAATGTTTATCTGAAAATTAAATTCATGAAGTAATCTAAAAACTTCTTGAATCATGAACAAACAGAAACACTAATAAATAAAGATTTGAAAGCAAATTCACATGAATTTTTATTAACTTTATTGCATTTCTTCGTGCGAGGTTCTATACTGGTATTTTGAATGGTGCTAGTAATGAACATTGTTTAGGGGAATAATATTTCGTTATTTCTTATTGAAAAAAGTTATTAATACATTCGTATATACAAAGTTTCCTTTAGATCGTTATCATGACATAACTTGAAACCTATTTTGCGACAGCATAACATTTGGAATTGCTTAGCTTCCTTTATCGCTTTATTTCATATTGTCGCTCACGATGCATTTATTGGGGTCTTCAATATATTTTTTACCTGAATATGTTCTAGCATAGTTAGAAGTTTAATTTTTTTTGCAAAAGATTCCTCGCACCTTCAAATGCTTAAAGATAGATTTTTAAGAAAATCCAAAAATGCGTCCAATTTCGACACCAAATTAAGTCAATTTTCACCCTTTTTTCTATGGAGATTTTATAATGGGAAAATTAAGTTCTAACAAATTCGATCTTTTTTTCTGATGAAAATCTTTCCCCTTTTCGATTAAAATTGACCTATTTTTCTTTCGAATTGCAATTTTGATTTGATTTAAATTTTATTCGATTCTTCAATAATTGAGAGAGTATGGAAACGAATTTCATGAATTCTGCGAACCAATTTGCCGTAATATTCGAATGCAAACTTTATTTTATCTAAACATTGGGTATCATAGATTAATTATGTGCCGAAATTGGACGCATTTTTTTGATTTTCTTTGAAATCTATTTCTAAGCATTTGAAGGTGCGCGGAATCTTTTGCAAAAAAAATTAAACTTCTAACTATGCTAGAACATATTCAGGTAAAAAATATATTGAAGACCCTAATACAAATCAATGATAAATAAAATAAATGTATAAAATGAATAAAATATCAGTGATAAAAATCTGACAAGGGATGCATGGTTGGTGCTACGACAATCTTGAAATTTTTTTGGGCTTAAAATATTTTAATGGGTCAGATATGACCCTTTGTAAAGTCTTTCGTTTCGGAAATTCTCCGTTTCCAAAGTTACCAGGGTGTCAAAGTATCAT